TTAAGGGGTCTTAAAGAATCTGTTTTACACGCTATTTCTTTACACGATAATTCTGATTTAAAAAAATTAAAAGATAATTTAAAAAAATTCGAACTTATGCAATTCAGAATAAATAACAGAGGACCATCTTTTAGTGATTATACTGACATTTTAAATCAACAGGTGACCCAATTAGATAAATACTCTAAAGCTAGAGATGAGGAGATTAAAGATTTAAAAAGACAATTAGAGGAAAGAGATTTATCTTACAGACGTGAGATAAAAGAATTAAGTGAGCAGATAAAAAACGTACAAGTATTAGAAAGAAAACCTTACAGAAATAATAATTTTAATGACTATAGAGAGAAGAGTCCGCACCCAAGAAGGCGTTATAGTAGTAGAAATAATAGTAGAGACAGAAATTATTATGATAACAGGAGAAATAGATCTTATTCTAGAGATCGGGATTTTAACGTGAAAAATTCTAGATCTAGAGAAAATAGTTATGATAGACGATTTAGTAATAGTCATGGTCAGGATATAGAGCGCAGTCGGGAGAGTGAGCGAAATAGTAGAGGTAGATATTCAAGATCTATTACGCCTAGTAGTTATAATAGATCAAGCAACGAAGCAAGAGACAACCTTGACATTGTGTGTTTTAACTGTGGTAAGAGAGGTCATAAGTCTAACATTTGTACTAATCCAAAAAACGTGAGTTTCACGAGTTAGATAATGAATTCGGATATCTAACTCGGGAAAATAAATACGGTGAAAATATTTTTTCCGAAAAAGAAAAAGATAAATTTGATTTAATAAATTTTGTGAGACAGTGGTACATTGGTTCTGAAAATGAAATAAAAAATAAGCAAATTGAAAATTTAGAAAAAGAATATTTAAATAAATTAATGATTAAAGAAAGAGGTGAAAGAGTTTTATCAATCGAAGTAGAACTATATAATAAAAAAAGGTTTGGAATTATTGACACAGGTTCTAATATCACGTGTATTGTTTGTCCTTAACAAATAAAAATGATATTTTTAATAATAAAGATAATGTGATTATAACAGGTGCGGATAGCTCAGAATTAGAACAATTAGGTATGGTAAATTTACAATTAAAAATTAATGGGGAGTTGTACTTTATTAAAGCTTATGTAATTAAAGGCTTAAATTGTAAATTATTATTAGGTAATGATTTTCATATCAAAAATGGTTTAATTATTAATTTTAGAAATAAAACAATTACTTTAAACAATAATAATGTAGTTAACATGGACGATATTTGGTTTAATTTTAATTATGATAACAATTTTGAAAAAAAAATAGAACGCATAGGTAGTTTAAATTGTAAAAAAGATTATATTGGTAAAATTACTGCTAAACAAAATATTATGATCGCCCCGAAGTCCGTCGAAAAAATAAATATAAACATCGACTCAAAGGAAGGCAATAATAATTATATCGTAGAACCTGTTAAACGATTAAGTAAACATAAATATTTGACTCTCGAATCAAATACAATAAACACTGACACAGGTCAAATTACCGTTTATAATTTTTCAAATGTTTACTGTAATATTCCTACCGGGATGAAAATCGCTGACATTGTAGGTGCGTGTGATTCTAATACGAATAAAAATGTTAACACTATAAATAATGATTATAGGCTACCGGGAGATATTTTTGACAAACAAGGCAGTCCGATACAAATTTCGTCAGAATTAAGTTTAGACCAACGTAAAAAAGCAGTGGGTTTAATTAATAAATATAAACATCTTTTTACTTCTGACCCATTAGANCAAATATAAACATCTTTTTATTTCTGACCCATTAGATATTGGTTGTGCTAACGTTGAACCGTGTGAAATTTTATTAAAATCGGATAAGCCAATTTTTCAACCTCCATATAGAGTCGCGCCAATGTAACGAGAAAAATTAAAATAATTAATTCATCAAATGATTGAAGCAGATATCATTGAGCCCAGCAAAAGTAGTTTTGCTGCTCCTGTTTTCCTTATTCCAAAAAAAGAGAAGGGAGAATATAGATTTTTAGTAGATTTTAGGAAATTAAATGAACAAACTATAAGCGATAAACATCCTATATCACGAGCGGATGACCTTTTTAGAGCCTTAGAAGGTGCTAAATATTTTTCTTCCATAGATATGACACAATCTTATTTTCAGATCCCCATTAAGGAGGAAGATAAAGAAAAGACTGGTTTCACAACTGACTTTGGTCTTTTTCAATTTAAAAAATTAATGCAAGGTTGGAAAAATAGTGCTCCATATTTCCAACGTGTAATGAATAATTTGTTCAGTGATTTATTATATAGGTCTATGATAAGTTACCTGGACGATATTTGTACCTTTGGAAAATCTTTTGAAGAAGCATTACAAAGATTAGAGTTGGTTTTTGAAAGGTTAGATGAGGCTGGTTTGAAGTTAAAGACTAATAAATGTGTTTTCTTTAGTTCTGAAATTGAATTATTAGGCCATAAAATTTCAAAAGATGGAATAACGCCTTTGGAAAAAAATATTAAAGCTATAATAAATTTTCCTAAACCAAAAAAAATTAAGGATGTGAGAGCCTTTATTGGCTTGACTAGTTATTATAGAAAATTTATTAAAAATTTTGCTAAAATCGCTAGTCCTCTCACAGATTTGAACAAAAAAGAGAGAGTTTTCGAGTGGGGTAATGAACAAGATTGGGCTTTTGAAAAATTAAAAAGGGCAATTATAACTACTCCTGTTTTGGCACATTTTGAGGATGGTTTTCAGGTTTATGTCACCACGGACGCCTCACTTGACGGTTTATCAGGAATACTTGAGCAAGAAGGTAGAGATGGTAAAAGGCATCCTGTTGCTTACGCATCTAGAAAGCTCAAAGGAGGTGAAAAAAATTTTTCTACCACGGAATTAGAAATGTGTGCTGTAGTTTTTGCTGTAAATTACTTTAGGGAATTTTTAATAGGTAGGAAAGTGATTGTTTTTAGCGACCATGCTAGTCTTCAATATTACAAAAATATGAAAAACCCATCTTCTCGTATTACTAAATTTATTTTTAAACTATTAGAATTTGACATCGAGATAAAACATAAACCTGGTTTATGGAATCAAGCTGCGGATTGTTTATCTAGATATCCTGTAAATACTTTAGAAGAAAGTCTAGAGGTCACAGAATCGGAAGTTAACAATGAACTAAGTATTGAGGTAATAAAAGAAGAACAATCTCGAGATGAGTTTTGTGTTGGCATTTGTGAGGCTATAAATAATAATAAATATAATAAATTCAAAAGACAATCTAGACATTATTGTATTAAAAATAATCTGTTGTATTACAAAAATTGGTCTCCATATGGTATAAATTTTCTTTTAGTTATTCCAAAGAACTTAATTAACAATGTGTTGAAAGCTTACCATGAATCTGTATTGAGTGCACATTTTGGGATAAATAAAACCCTGCTTAAATTAAAACAAAAATATTATTGGCCAAATATGATAAAAGATACTAATAATTTCATAAAAACTTGTAAGTCATGTCAATTTTTAAAAAATCCGGTGGGTAAACCTGCTGGCTTATTACAGCCAATTCCTTTAGAAAGCTCAAGGCCAGCTTCCAGATTCTGTATTGATTATTTAGGATCATTAATACCATCTAGGGGGAAAAAATATTTAATTGTTGCTACTTGCAATTCTACTAAAATGGCTTTTACTAAAGCTGTGTCAAATGCCAATGCTCAGGCTACAATTGAATTCTTAGTCGACCTTATCACAACATTTGGGCCTCCTAAAATTTTACAAAGTGACAGGGGAACTCATTTTAAGAATAAAGAGGTTGAAAAGGTCTGTAGGAGTTTAGGTATCACACAAATTTTCTCAACAGCCTACCATCNAAAAAGGTCTGTAGGAGTTTGGGTATCACACAAATTTTCTCAACAGCCTATCATCCACAAACTAATGAGCAAACTGAATTAATGAATAAAATTCTTTGTAACAGTCTAACGCATTATGTTAATAAAAACCAAAAAGATTGAGCTTTGTATTATAAGATGGTGACTTTTGCTTATAATTCTTGTCCACACTCAAAACTTGAATTTAGTCCTTTTTTCTTAATGCATGGTTTTGAACCCAATCAGCCCATTGATAATAAAATCTTACCCGAGGACGATTCTTTCGAATTATCAAAAAATATTAATAAACTAAAGGAAGTAAGAGATGAAATTCCTAAGTTAATAAAAATTGAACAAGATAGACAAAAAAAATACTATGATAAAAATCATAAAGAAGTTAGCTTTGAACCTGGTCAATTGGTTTTAATCAAATTTAATGTGCATGAGCCAAATATTTCAAAAAAATTATCATATAAATATCGCGGTCCATTTAAAATTATTGAAAAATTATCCGACATAAATTATAAAATCGCTCTAACATTAAATGGTAAAAATACCATTGATACTTTTCATGTCCAGAGGATAAAACCTTATTATAAAAGAAATGAATAAATGTATATATAAATGTTATTATTATTACTTTGTAAAAAATTATTATTCATTAATTATTAAGTTTTGCTTATTTAGGTATAAAATGAATAAAATAAGGTTTGTAATCATTGACTTTGAATTTGGTATGTATAACAAATTTGATTTAGTATTAATCTCTGGTGCCATTGGCGGTAGCCGGGATCTAGAATTAATTTTGCAGTTGGAAGGAACGCCATTAATATTAGGAAATAACATTACTAAGTTATTAGACAATCAGATAGAACCACTCAAAGACAGGATGAAATGGATCTTTAGGAAAAAAAAAGAAAAATTAATTCCACTTTTTGCAGAATTAAGAATCAGTACGGCAAAAAACAATGCACAAAATTTAAATTATAATTCTATTAATACTTTTATTGAATGGATTGGCCACTTGTATAATGAAGTCATTTTAATAACGTGGAGTGGTTCTACTGATAAGGTTATTTTAAAAAAATTGGGTATTAACAATAGAATTTTAGACTTAAATGGCGAAGACTTAAATAAAAATGGCTTTTTTACATTAACTATTAAGGATAACCTTGGTAATTTATTATTTGGGATTGATTTGGGTTATTTTAAAAAAAATGGGCACCTACTTAAATTAGAAGAGGCACATAGAATAATATGTGATANGATGGTCACCTACTTAAATTAGAAGAGGCACATAAGATAATATGTGATAAAAAGCATGGTCTACCTCATATACCTGAAGTTGACGTAGCCATGACTAGGTGTCTCTTCAATTTTGCAATAGTTAATTTAGGAGAAAATTTTTTAATACCAAATTTAACTTAATATGATGTTCTTTTATTTAATTTTTAGAATGTGGTTTTGCTGGGGATTGTTACTTATAACTTGCCAAAATATATTTATGGAGAGAATTAAGGTATCAGTATCTTCGGGTGCTTTCTTTAACGAGATACAAGAGGCAATGATGTATGATAAAAGTATTCCATTAACTTATACTCAGATTATTTTAGAAAAAGAAAAAACAAACGTGGGTGAGTCATTAGCTGTAGAAGGCTATTGTAAAAACAAAGATACTAATTATTGCAATATTATTAACCAATCTTTAGTTATACTAAAAAATATTAACAAAAATATGTGGGAAAATCAATTGGATCTTAATGATTTTAATTTCAATAAAAGATCAAAAAGGGGCATTCAATTTTTGGGTAACGGGTTTCATTTTTGTTGTAATGTTGCTACCGAAAAACAACTAAAAAACTTTTATTCTAATGAACAAATTTTAAAAGATCAATTTAATAAATTAAAAGATGTTTTTACTTCTGACCACAAAGACCTTAATGATATCACTTCACAACTTAATAATTATACTTCTAATACCAACATTAAGATCGAATTATTAAAAACGGCGTTTCAAAAAATTAATGATGAAAATAGAAATAATGCAAGGTTAGAAGACAATAACTTAAATAATTCAATTCAGGGCATACAAGAAATACTTTTTACTATAATGTCTGTTTTTTCTAAATTAATTGATTATGAAAGAATGTCTAATGCACATTTACATTGTAAAAATAACAAAATTCCACCAAGAGTATTATCTACTGATATACTTTACAAAGATTTATTGAAATTACAGAAAACAATAAATAAAGACGGTTATGAATTAGTTATTCCAATAAAAAATTTACATTCTTATTACAATTTACCTATTGCTGAATGTCAGTTTTCGGAAACCCAAATATTACTAATATAAATGTGGTGTAAACGTCTAGAGTGGCTCGGACATGTTAGGAGAGCTAATGGAGATGTATTAAAAAATGTTCTGATAGAAAAAATAAATAAGAAACGTCCACTTGGGAGACCAAGAACACGATGGAAAGACTCCGTAGAAAAGGATATGAGATTGATAAATGAGCATGCAACGTTGGACTGGACTTTGGATAGAGAAAAATGGAAAGGCTTAATAGTGGCAGCGCAGGTCCTTAATGGACCGTTGAGCTGTTGAAGAAGAAGAAGAAGTTAAGGAGAAGATATGATGGTTAGGGGTGGAGAGAGATTTTAGGAGAAATTTATTAGCAAGCAAGCGACAGCGGATTAAGAGGGGGGAAGAGGAGCATTCAACAAAATTACTATGGCTCGGGGTAGACTTAAGAACACCAAAAATGCTGCGCAAGCATGCGGATAAAAGAGAATTAAGTTTTTTCCTATGAGTGTAGGAAGCTGAAGAAAATAAAAAAGAGCCGCATTCAATTTTAGTGCGGATAACGGATTTAAAAATGAGAAGTAATGAGGAGGGATGAGAGCCCCAGGGTGTACCAGTAATACAGCGTAAGAAATTTGACCAGCGAGCAGCGGACGAGAGAATAAAACGGAAATGAGGAAGCCATCTCAGCTTAGGATCCAGTTTAAGGCCTAAATAAGTGGCGCATTCAGAGGAGAGGATGGTTATACCATCAAGAGTAATTATAGGGTAAACTGACGGTAAGCGTTTTCTAGTGAAAATTATTAACTGGCTTTTCAATGGAGCAGCCTCAAAATAATGAATTTGAAGAAAGTTAGAGAGGACGGCAAGTGAATTATTAAGGGAGTGAGGGCATTATGAATGGATATATGAAAAGAAAAAAGAACGATGTCATCAGCATAGAAAAGTGAGAAAGTACCACTAGAGGTGAGGGAGAGGCTAATTTTGCTCATGTAAATATTAAAAAGAAAAGGACTAAGGCAGCTACCCTGTGGGAGGCCGCGGTAGGAAGTGCGGTTTAATATTAAACCGGAAGGAGAAGTGAAAGTAAGAAAACGTTGTGAGTAGAGACGTGAAATAAAATTACAAAGTGTAGGGGGTATAGAATAAGAATGTAAAATGTGTACAGAATCAAAAGCACCTTTGATGTCAACAAAACAGCGGGACAATAGGATTTATCACAAAATGTTCTGTATATACTGGCCGTGAGAGTGGATAAACACCCCATGGTGCCCAGCCCTCTCCAAAACCCGTATAAATTAGGGAGAAGACAGTTTTTTTTTTCAAAGAATCAATCAAGGAGGTTCTTGATAATGTGTTCGACTACTTTGCAAAGAGAAGAGGCAAGAGCTATTGAGCGAAATGCAACGGAAGCTTAGTTAGATTTAGGAACGGGAATGACGTTAAAATTACACCAAGAATCAGGAATAACATCTTGGGACCATAAAGAATTAAGAATAACTAAAAAAAGTTCAAGGCAATGAGAAGGGAGATGTTTTAAAACCAAAGGGGAAATTCCATCCAAACTAGAGCTGAACGATTTACGCGAATAGATTGCATAGGAAATTTCACTGAAAGTACACGAATCAGTAAGAGGATGAAAAGGGAGAAAATTAAGGAAAGGGTTAGGATCAAGGGTAGGAGAGGATTCGGACGTAAGGATGGGACGTAGGAGGGAGCAACGTTACTGCATAAGAGATCAAACCATGACTCATTTAAAGAGGGAGAATTTTTATATAGACAGTTTCCAAATTTTTTGGCAATAGTCCAGGTATTGGACAGGCTAGAAGAAGGATTAAGTGAGAAACAGAAAGAGCGCCAGGACATAATTTTTGCTTGTTTGTGCTTTTTGAACAGAGGCGCGTACCCTTTGGTACTCAAAAAAGTCACTTAGTAGACCTGAGGATCTATATTTTTTAAAAGCTTTAGTGCGCTCATTGATAGCGTATGTGCAAGAGGAAGCCACTATATTGGAGAGGAGGGAAAGGACTTTATGTTTTTTTTTTAATTAAAGGAATAGATAAATTAACTGCTCTAATAATTGTAGACACGAACCAGTTGTAGTCCTCAATGAGAAAGGAGGAAGAAAAATTAGAGGTGAAAATGGTAATGTAATTTTGAAAAGATAGCCAATCAGCTTTCGAATAATTAAATCTGTTAACAACTTTGTGAGAGGGAGTGGTAGAATTCGTGTGTGAAATAATAATGGGAAAATGATCACTACCATGAGTGCAGTCTAAGATAGACCATGACAACAACAACGAGAGAGAGAGAGATTAAATGGTTAGGTCAACCGCGGAATCCATTTGGGAAGGGCCTGTAAGGAGGGTGGGGAGTCCTGTATTGAAAATACAAAAATTATAGGCAGACGAAATAATGTTACCACGATGATTGGAGATTAGTGCACCCCAGGAGGGATGGTGATCATTAAAATCACCGCTTATAATAGAATTACAAGAAACTAAAGAAAAAATGTTATCAATTAGTATAGAAGGAGGGTTGGAAGAGGACAGAATGTAAATAGACCAAATGGCAATAGGATTGGGTAAATTGGTAAACGCCTGGATACCGACAAGATCTATAAAATGATTAAGAAGCGATATTTTTAATACAGGATCAATAGAAATAGGTTTAATGTGGATAGTATGATGGGAGGCGATGGCTACGCCGCCAAAACCGTCGATACGATCAGAGCGATTAATGTTGAACTGTGGAAGAGAAACACGTTTATTTGAAAGGAGCCAAGTTTCAGAAAGGAGAGCAAAGGAACAGTTATTGATAGAGAGAAGAAAAGAAAGATCGTGCATTCTAGGGGATAAACTTCTTACGTTCCATTGAAGAATGTTGAAAGAAGGATAGTTAGGATTACTATTAAAACATGTCATCGTGGTCAGATAAGGATAGTGGATGTCAATTAATGAAGATTCGATAGTTGATTGAAGTATTGAAGGAGAGGAAATTAATTTAGGATCGCTCGCAAGTAGCTGAGCGATATGTTGCGATAAGCAGGAAATCCAGTTGCGGTCATCAGCATTAATACTACTATTTTGGGGCATGTATTTTAAAAAACTGCCATTATGCGAACTTGCCCTAGAACAGTCATTCGGTGAAGGAGGAAAGTGGGGGAGGGGACTTGAGTTTTATTACTTTTTTTTTATTTGTATATGTATTGGTAGAATAACTAAGGGAAGAAAAGGAAGAAGCTACGACTTCGACACTAGATATATTTGTATTTTTAGCAACATTAGAAAAGCTTTATTAACTAAACTGGAACGTTTGATCGAGGAGACTTCAGAAAACGAGACATTGTTTGTGGCCATTATTTTTTTAATGTCCTTTTGCACAGACCATTCGCTGCAAGATCTATCCGTCGCAAGGTGGTTTAGTTTACAAAAAATGCACGAAGGAGGTGTGGTTACCTTGACGTTATAATTAGATTCAGTGTGGTCAAAGAGACCGCAGTGACTGCAGCGCTCCTTACTGCGACAGAACTTAAGGGTGTGACCAAAACGTATACACTTGCGACATTGGACAGGAGAACAAATACTCGGAGAGACATCAAAAATAACTTTGTATATTAATAATTTTTGAGGAAGAATTGCTGACAAAAATTTAAGTTCAACTAAATTTGAAGAAACGAGGATGTTATCCTTTTTTATATTAATGCGTCTGAATGAAACAACTTTGACTGAACATTCATTATAAAGTTATTATCACCAGATGCAGAAACGAGTACATTAAGGGGACCAGTGTAGTGTAGTGGAAAGCATTCAGGAACATTGGGTTGTCTGACTGTTGAAATATTAGGAGAATCGACATAGAGCGAAATTATGTTTGAAGTTGGCGAACCGGGTGACGTCACAACGATGACTACAGGTGAGCTACAATCCATGCTGAAAGTTTGAGATTGGGGATCATCGGATTTTGATTTACCGTCAGATTTAGGTTTTTTGTGTAAGGGGCTAATTGGCGATTTAGAGCCTTGATTGTTCTTACTAGAATAACGCGAATTATCCATGGAGATTTGTGGGTTGGAAGATTGCAGAGTGCTTCTACGGCCCGTTGCGCTGCGCTACTGTGTCGGTTGGATCGGGCTCTACGGGGCTACGAAACGTCGGCACGAGCACAGTCTCCCTAGCTCGGAGAATTGGGCGCGTCCTCAGGTTTCGGATAGAGGAGCGGCCTGCAAATATGCAGGTTAGCCGCGAAATAAGTAGTCCATTAATTTGAACTGACGAATAAGCGGTCGCGGACAATGAGCTCTTCGTTCGCTTGTTAACCCTGCAGATATGCAGGGTAGCCGCGATATATATATTAATGTAACTAAAAAAATATTTTGTATCACAAGGGCTCAGCCCGTATAAATAAATAAATAAATAAATATAAGCCACTCCTAGAGTGGACGAATAAGCGGTAGCGATCGAGGGTAATTTCATAACGGGCGGGTGGGCCCAATAGCCTATTAAGGCGACCACCTAGATGAAGGTAACACCGAAAACAAATCCCCTGGCGGTAGGTAAAACGCAGGGAAGGACACCCGTAAAAACCAATCATGGAAGGAAACCATCACAAAAATACAGTTACCGTTCCAGGAGTTTCGGAGACTCCAGGGCCGGTTGGGAAGAGTGTAGTTGCAGGCTCGACCCGGTCGTTATCCAGCGACTGCATCGAAACCGTTGGACTGTTGAGGCAGGGTCCAGGGGCGTCCGCGCCCAAGTTACTGCTGGAGGATGTGGGGAGTAGGCATCCTCTGGTGGCTTTGGAGCCACCGAGGTTACTGCTGGTGATAGTGTAGTTATTATTACCGAAGAAATTATGGAGAATTGGATAGCCATTAGGGATCGTTTTTGCAACAATATTCCTCTCACGATGTCCGAATTCGTGCGCTGGAAGGAACTCCAAGGGAGACTAATGGGCCAAAATGCTGTTGAGCATTGCCTCCCGTACGGGAAGTTTCAGGCTCTAGAGAGTTCTGTTGCCATCATCCTCAGAATGATGGCGAGTGATTTGGAGGATAGAGGAAAATACGCCCCGAAGAAGAATATATATATCCAAATTAATAGGATGTATAGTCAAATCCGGACGAGTATTCATAATAGGTTTTACTGTTTTAGTTTAAGTTTTTTTCTTTTTTGAAAGTTTCATTTTCAAAAAATTCTCTAGAGAAACAACTGTCAGGGCAATAAACATAATATCTATGACTATTTGAATAGGAATTATGAAATATATGACCAACATCGTTATCACGAAAAAAAAAATTCGAATCCATATTTTTTAGCTTCGATACGAAGCTGAGAAGGTATTAATTTTACTATTATGTGTTTTTTTTATTTTTGTGTCTGTTACCACTTTTTCTCAGCTCTCACCGAACCGATTTCTTTCAACGATACGTCAAAAAATCTCAAATCGTATCTAGTCGAAGACATTACCCTCAAAAAGTGAAAAAATTTACCTCGTTCCCTGTAAATGGGGGAAATCTCCAAAAAAATTACAAATTTAAAAATCGCTAATTTTTGAAATTCTTTCAATTTTTTTTTACTAAAAACTGCCATAACTTTTTCAAAAATGAACATATCAATATAATTTTTTTTTTATGGATGCTTGATATCTTTACCTATCATTTGGTATATTTTTTTTATAAATTTAACCCTTTACCAGCCTTTACAGGGGGAATTAAAATGACAACTTTTTCACAAAAAATTAACTTTTTCAACTTTACTTTTGAAAGTGTTCCGGAAATACTGACATTTTTATATATATCTTAAATTAAATCTTAGATTTATAATACAGAATATAAATTGTCTACAAAAATTGATAAGTGATATTAAATAACAAAATTTATGCGTAGACTTAACACTTAATTACACGCCTATATAATTACAATTCGAACACGCTTCACACTATTTGAGTGCACAACATAAATAACACACACAGAGCACGCGACTACAAGCGACTACTCGTGTAATACTAGGATATAATAGGCAGGACGGTTATTGCGACGCAAAAGCTAGGCAAAAACGCAGTAACAGAGGCATTGACGTATACATTTTGAAAGTTCTCATCAGTAAATGGCAGTTCATCTTTTAGGACATCCCCTTTTATGATACTAATTTTAATCAGTCAGATGTCATCTATACTTGTCCTAACTGTAATGAATTTTTATTTGTCTTAAAGTATTTTTATAGAGAATATATTGATATATTTACATGTCCTTTTAATTTAGGGGTTTCTATATTTTTGAGCAATTTTTTAGGTTAAGTTTAAACATTTTTTTAAATTTGAGCCCTTTTTGTGGTAAATAATTTTATATTTAAAATCCAATAACGCTTTTGGTAAATTCTATAAAGTTTTTTCATTAACACTGATGAGTACTAACTTCCTCAAATCATGTAATAAAATAAACTATTTAAATGTAAAAAAATGTATAAAAAAATATTTAATTTAACTCGAACTGATCATCAATTTTAATTATTTTCAGGTAAAACATTTGATATTTTGACTGAAAATATTTAAGTATTCAGTTTTTAAGTATATAGTATATATATATAATCCTACATAAAACATAATATAAAAAAGGGCGGGAGGAAATATTGTACTTTTATAATGAAAATGATTTTAAACTTCATAATTAACTTAGGGATTTCAAAAAAATTTAACATAAATACCTAAGATTTAAAGAAAAATTTCATTTTATTTATAAAAATTGATCATACATTAATGTTTGTTTTACCATCTAGGGAAAAATAATAAAAATTACTTATAAATAAATATATATAATGTAAATAATAACATTATACAAATTATTGTAGCTAAAAGATTATATTAAATATAAAATAAAACATATATGATTAATAGTAAAATATTTTAAAAGTTTGCTTGTATTCATAAATATTGCACATTGTATGCTAGGAAAGAAGACTTAAGAATTGTACATGAAAACATTAATTTTGAAATAATTGATCATTGGTTAAAATATTTTATTTTGAATCTTATTCATTTGTAAGTACCAATTGCAAAAATAAATAGGATACAAATGTAAATAAAATTAAAATGCACTTGATGAAATGCAAAATAGTAAATAAATTTTTACATTGATAAGTAGACAATTTTAGTAAATTATGGATTAATAAATATTTAGTTGAAAATTATAAATTAAGGTGTTAAACATTTAAAAAAATCTCATTTAACATTCAACTATCATGAATTTGTTCTGGATTTATAATTACTTGGATTACATAACCAGGAAGAACTTTAGCATCATCTATATGTAACTTGTCTCCTAAAAGTTTACCGCCAAAGAACCATCTTTGATGTTGTGGTTCAATGCCTTCTTTAGCCTAAAAAGTTGAATAGAAAAGTATAATATATCTAAAGAATAATTTTTGTTTGCAAATACAATGATGAATTATTTTTTTTAATTTTTAATACAATCTAAAAAAAAATTTAATTACATTTACTTCTTTTAAACAGAACAACATTGGAAAATAACAATTATAATTCTATATTTTCAATAAAATTTATATTTTTTCCACTAGATTAAAAAATATCATGTCATTTTAAAACATATACAATAGGGTCATCCTTATTTTTCGACTTCATAAATTTAGAGTCATGGGCTCAAAATTTCGTTAGGTTCACTGAAAAAATGAAACTGGTTGGGTTTCAAAAAATAGTATATTATCATATTTTTTGTTCACATTGAGTTCTATAAAAATTGTTCTTTGTGTTTTTGGCGAAACTTCAAAAATAAAGAGCGTACACTCAAAAAAAGATAATCCACCCCATTTTTGAGAACTTCAACCCCTTTGAGGCACGTGAATGGGTTGACTTATTGTACTCAAATTTTACCAGTTTCATTTTTTCAGTGAACCTAACGAAATTTTGAGCCCATGACTCTGAATTTATGAAGTCGAAAAATAAGGATGACCCTATTGTATATGTTTTAAAATGACATGATATTTTTTNCATATTATGTTAAACAGTATTTAGAAAGTGTGTAACTGAGAAACTCAGTGATGTAATTACCTATATTATGATGTTCTACACAAATATATATATGTTTTAATTTTTAGAAAAAAATTAAACTTGATTCATAAATATCAATAATATAACTTGTTTTTAATTAGGTATAAAGTATTATTATACAATAATGAAAGTATAAATTGTATTCATAATGAATGTTACTTGGGCACTAACAGTTTAGTAAATCACTCAATATATAGTACAATAATAGAAATATAAGAAGAAAAAATTATAGGATATTACAATTTAAGATGTTATGAGCAAAAACAAGATTAATTAATTTCTAAAAACTCTGAGGAAACCAAAAAACCAGACTTTTTTACTTAAAACGATCTTATCTACCAAATAATTATAAAAATGTTATATTTCTTATATTGTCATCTCTATGCGAAAACAGTGTATCTCGATTTTTTAAAATAACTCAGAAGAAAGAAAACACCATTTTTTTTAAATTTTTCAATGGAAATATGATAACAATTAAATATCATAAAAAATAACTATCAACTTTTAAAAAGTTAAAAAACTTTTTATAATTTAATAAATAATATGATATAAAAAAATTAGTTTTCTATTTGAAAATTGAAAGTAGATATGAGTTTAATGTATAACAAATAGTAGCAGAAATTGTAATTTTTTTGTTAAATTTAGCTCAAAAAGAACCATTCTGTTTTAATTAATAAAATAATGATTAACTCTAATATTTTTGAATATATTTAGTGAGGCGTAGTTAAGGAATTGCTCATAATATTTAGTGATATGATTATAAGATATGATTCTGTTATTGTGAACCTAATAAACATTAATAAACTGATATAAACTAACTTAATTATTTAAAAAAAAAAAATAATTATGAGTATTATATTTTTTGCTTTTTTAAGTTAAATGTATTTCTCAATTTATCAATCATAAAGTATTTTGTAAGTTCATTTCTTATACCTTATATGTATATCAACATTATTTTTTCAAATGAAATGTTTAGTTATTAGATAATGATTAAATTAAATAAATTACTAGTCTATGACAATATAATAATATTAGCTTTTCGNATATACATATTATGTATATCAACATTATTTTTTCAAATGAAATGTTTAGTTATTAGATAATGATTAAATTAAATAAATTACTAGTCTATGACAATATAATAATATTAGCTTTTCGAACTAATAATTCGAAAGTTATTAACACTTTTATACCAAAGCAGAAGGAAGAGAAATATCTTGTGATAAGATAACAATAACTGCAACTCATCTTCTTCCATTATTTTAAATTGTTCATAACTTTTAAAATACTGGTTCAAGTACTGGTTTAAGTTTGATAACAATAGTATATTATTATTACTGATTTACATTTAAATCACAGGTAATCATTCAAACATTGATAAATTTATAATATTATTGATATTAAACATATTAAGATATATAAAAGTAATCTACAATCCCTTTTTACATAATGTAGACCAACATTTAACACTTATGAAAAAATGTAAAAAAAGTTCAAATTTCAAAAAGCTGTAATAATTTAGCTGTAAAAAGCTAAATTAAAATAAGATTTTGGTATCAAATATTTTCTTATTACTATAAAATAGCTATATTAAAATCTTCAAATTTTTTTTAGAATTTTTGTTATGCAATAGAAAAAAATACATAATTAATTCATTTAATATGATCCAGGTCTGTAGAAACTGATTAAAAATTAGGAAAAATGTAAATAAATTATAAGAGTTGTAATTTAGATTCAATTTTGTTCCACTTTGTATATATATATATATATACAGTAATTAATTTTAATCCATAAAATGTAGAATATTTTGATCTATGTTTAGATATTTTAATTTCAAAAAAATTGAATCCCATTACTTGTAGTTTCTTTTTGGCTTGAGCTATTGTATCTCTTGTCATAAGTGTCATTTTTACATCTATACAGTTTGATGAAAGCCGAAGTTTTAATACAATTTCAGATCCTTCATCTAATGATTCTAAAAAAAATGAAACATATAATATACTTTTAAAATAAATTATAAGGCACTTAAATGGATTGAACTACAACATTTAATTTTAGATATTAGGCCACTTTTCTTAATGTTATAACTATTAATTCAACTCAAAGAACAAATAAAACTTGTTAAACAATGATGATTTTTGCACACCTTATATATTATTTAATTTTAATTGTTAATAATTCATTTATATTATTTATAGCCTGAATACAACAAGATATTAAAAATATTTCAATTCAAAAAAATTCCTAAGCACACTTTAAAATGTAGTATATTAATAAAAATTGTAACACCTCTTAACATTTTTCTGATTTTTGAATTGATATGAATAAAAAAAAAATGGTAGCAGAGTGGGGTCGAGGCACAGTGTGGACGAGGCATAGATGGGACGAGTATAGATAATATCTGACAGTGATTAAAATCACTATTATAAGAAACATTTCGATGCAATTCTGTAGATAGTGTTTAATTCTAAGAAATTGGTGCATAATTACAAAAGTAACATCAACTCCTATTTCCTAAATTATATCCTGATTAGTGATCCTCTGATTTCAAAATATAATATATGAATAAATACTAATTATAGAAATTAAATTAAGTATGAAATTGATATTCAATAATTTAATATTGTAATTTATACAGAGAAATTAAAAAAATAATTAAGTAGTTGTATATTTCTTTACTTTTAACAGGTATAAAAATTTGAAGGGCTTGATACAATACTTATCAATAAAAACTGTTTGTTACTTATGAACACTGCACTACAAGGAACTTTCATCAGAATCAAAAATATACTTTTCTAAATCAACTTTTGCTCTCTTTTAAAATTTGCAATTAGACTTTTTCTATCACTTTTAAAGGTTTGACCTCCCCCCCGTATAAAGGAAAATAGTCTAATTTAAAAAAAAAGTATGTCAAATGAAAGAGGAATATATAAAGTATTTATTATTAAAGAATAGAATTGATTCATGCATTTTTCAAAAAGTTATAGCAACATAATTTTTTAAAAATATAAAATATAATATCAATTCAGTAGCCATTTTCTCAGTGAAGACAAAATAAAATTCGAAATTTTTTTTTTTCATAATAAAGTATATTATATAAGCTTCAATTTAAGGTATATATAAAAATGTCAGTATTTACGGAAAACTTTCAAAAGTCAAGTTGGAAAAGTTAATTTATTATGAAAAAGTTGCCATTTTTAAACCCTTCCTGTGGGCTGATAAAGAGTCAAAATGTTCACAAAAATATATCAAATGATAGGTAAATACATAAGGTGTCTATAAAAAATAAACTATATTGATTCGGTCATTTTTAAAATAGTCATGGCAGTTTTAAGAAAAGAAATTAAAAAATTATAGATTTTTAAAATTGTATTTTTTGGGGGGATTTCCTCTGTTTACAAGGAACGAGGGAACTTTTTTCAATTTTTAAGGACAATGCCTTTGACTAGATACAATTTATGATCTTTTGACATATTGTTCATCAAAAATGGTGCAGCGAGAGCAGGGATTGAGCGTTCACAGACAAAAAAATAAAAAATAACTCATCATAGTAATATTAATACCTTCTTAGCTTCACATTGAAACTAAAATTAAATTTTATAGATTTATTTGATAGTACACTTATTCAATTATTTTATAGGAATAATTTCTTAAAATTTTTTTTTTTTAATTATAGTACAAAAGTTTCAGTCATCAATTATTTTTGACTTTATAATATTTAAAAGATTAATTAATTAAAAAAATTTACCAGTTTGTTCAATTGGCGAGTCTCTTCCACTTCCCTCTTTTACTATATTAATGGGATAAGACAAGCAGTATACAGGTACCTGATAACGATTGCCTAGTTCATCATAGCATTCAGTTAAAAATCCTGCAAAATATGAGTATATTATTATTAAGAAAACATTAGTCAGAATCATTTAATTAGACAAATAGGTAGTCCGTATTAGCTTTAATTTAAAAAGATATAGCTAATATTTATATAAACGCAACTGAATTACTAAAAATTTGTAAATTACCATTAGGAACTGATATATTAGCACCATCTAAAATGGCTTGCGCTAATTGAAAATCCATTAACTCTGCGGCTGTAGTGGCTGCTCTTAATGCATCCCATATTTCTTTACGACCTTCAAAAGCAGGTGCAGTATCCCAAAATTCATCACGTTTGCTTCTTAATTGACCTTCAGTTAATGGGACATCAGATTTCCAACGTATGGTCTCATGACATAATGGATGGTTTTTTCTGTTACTACCTAATGAAAATCAAATAAAATTTGAAAGTATTAAGAATTGGTTAATGATTATAATTTTAACAGTAATTATTTTGAAAATTATTTGATAAACTTTTGATACAAATTGATTTTATTCAAAATAAATATGTTTTCTAAATTATAACAATTATTATTTAAAACTATAGCATAGGGTAAATTTATCAGTGAATTTTTATATTTTAAAAGCTTTTATTAATTTATAATATTATACTACTCTCATGAAATGAATACTAATTTGTTCTCTAAACAAATTATTTATAATAATAATTTTAAAATATTTAGTATGATAATTTTGTATCAAAAAATACAGAAATCACTGTTAGACTAAATTTAAGTATATTCTATGTTATAATAATATTAAAAATGTCTTATACAATACTGTATAAGAAATTTATTAACTACCTCTTTTTTTTTTAATACATCTTTACCACATATTTATGTTTCATCATAGGAGGATTCTATCCTCTATATTACCCTGTGAGAATTCCCATGATGGCATAGATAAATCAATTAAGTTTTACATTTTAATCACAAATTTGATGCCTAAAAGGACTTATCACACTGCCCCTTAATTTTTGATTAAATAATCTTAATTTATACATCAAAATATTGAAACAAGCTTTGGTAATTTTTTTCAAATAATTTTGGTAATTTGAAGTATTAAAAAAATATTATATACGTAAATAAATATAATATACGTAGTCATAGACAGACTTTGAGGGGCTTAGGAAAGGTAATTCAACTTATAAATCTCCATAACTTTTGAAAAAAATTGGCCATTTTAAATTGAATTATAACTCAGTCCTCTCAAAATTTCAAGCAAATATCTACTAACGAATATGGTTTATAATTTCAAATTATACGTAATCCAAACACATAGCACTTTTATATTAATAAACATTAAAATTTTATTAAACATTAAAGCTTCCATTTACGAAAATTACCAGAACTAGGACGAGATCCATTATCAGACGTTGAATTTCTTCCCCTTCGGTTTCTTTGTAAACCTAAACAACCTCCCATATTGTATAAACGAGCTTAGAATTCATGGCAGAATTACATTTAAATAGAAAAAACTATGATTTTAAAGATATTAATTCGTAATTAATTACCATTTAAAACCATAAACATACACATCAAAAATTTATCAAAATAGTGAAATATAGAATTAAAATTTTAATATACTGTTTAATTAATTTAATATTTTCCATATAGAAAAATAAAAATTATTGTTCTGATTGATAATCATGTCTTGATAAAAAAGAGCTATGGAAGAAAAAATATTTTTTTTTATTTTCTCATGAGATTAAAAATTGAAGTCGTAGGAAATATAAGGGTGCTACAATTACTACGATTTTTTTGCTCTGATAATTTGTATACTACGGATATCGAAATTTAGCTTCGGATTCATTATTTTCTATATCGATTACTTCAATTATTAAAATATTATTAAACAATTTTTTTACGATGTGAAATACTCCAAATACTGTACTTTTATTTTACTCCAAAATTGATGTTTATTTTAGCTTCGATACGAAGCTGAGAAGGTATTAATTTTACTATCAGGGCCGGATTTAGGGGAGGACTGAGTGGGCTGCAGCCCAGGGTCCCCCACAAATTTGGTATACATTAGTATAACAAATATGATAATAATTGTTATTTAATAAGTAAAAAAATATATTTCCATGTTTATGTATAAGGGGCCCCCACAATGCATTCCGCCCTAGAGCCACCACATACCTAAGTCCACCCCTGTTTACTATGATGTGTTTTTTTTTTTTTATTTACTTTTTTTAGCTTCGATGCTAAGCTGAGAAGGTATTAATTTTACCATGATGTGTTTATTAATTATTATTTTTTTTTTTTTTGTATCTGTCACTACTTTTTCTCAGGTCTCACTGGACCGATTTCTTTCAACTATACGTCAAAAGATCACAAATCATATCTAGTCGAAGACATTACCCTCAAAAATTGAAAAAATTTACCTCGTTCCCCGTAATTGGGGGAAATGTCCAAAAAAATTACAAATTTAAAAATAGGTAAATTTTGTCATTTTTTTTTCACTTTTTTTTCTTATAACTTCCATAGCTTTTTTAAAAATAAACAAATCAACATAATTTTCTTTTTATACTAAGACCTTAGATATTTCTCTTTTATTTGATATCATTTTTTTGAAAATCTAACACTTAACCTGCTCATTGAGGGGGATTTAAAATAGCAACTTTTTTACAAAAACTAACTTTTTCAGCTTAATTTTTGAAAATGTTACGGAAATACTGCGTCCTTTAAACATATATAAAATTAAAGCTTATTTTATGTACTATAAAATTAAAAAAAAAATTTGTCCCGACACTTTATCTTCTGCATGTAAACGGCTGCCGTAATTAAAAAAACGCTATTTTTGCATTAAAATTTTCGATTTTCAATTTTAAATTTTCAACTTAAAAATAACTTTTCGAAAAATGTAATTATCAGCACAAATTTTTTTTTTTCTAAATACATTATAAGTACATCTTTCATTTGACATACTTTTTATTAAAATTGGACAATTTCCGTTCAAAACTTGAAACTTTGTATAAAAAATAGAACTTTTGAAAGTGTTCCGGAAATACTGCGTCCTTTAAACATATATAAAATTAAAGCTTATTTTATGTACTATAAAATGAAAAAAAAAAATTTACCGACGACCTATCTTCTATACGCAAATGGATACCATATTCAAAAATATACTATTTTTGTGTTAAAAACCTGGGTTTTGTATTTTATTTTATCTTAAAATATCTTATAAGTGCAATACACTGACTTTCATGAATATTTTATAATTTAATTGACATTGAATAAAGTTCATAAGACATAAGAAATTAAACTTATTAAAATTTTATTACTTTTTTAAAGTAATTTTTAAATTTGAGTTATTAAATAGCCAATTTTATCAAGGGACGAGAGCAACGAACCGTTGCCGAGTCGGTAACACTTGAGTCTTTCATGCTTACGGTACGAGGTTGAAATCCGTCTGTGTCTATTAATATTATGGATTTTTTTTTTTTAGTTAGAATAAAATTTTCAAATCATTTGATATTTATCTCATTTAGATTCAATAACTTCAATAGATATAAAGTATTCTATCACTATAGTCTCCCCTCGTGAGAAGAAATTTATATTCATGTTAATATTATTTTACTATGTGGTTCTTTTTGTGGATACGATTTATTTTGCCAACCCTCATTAGACCTACTTTTTTCAACGATACGTCAAATGTTTTATTTAAGTTTATAATATTTAAGTTATTACTCTTAAAAATCGAAAAAATATTCCTTATTCAAATAAAAAGTAGCTTAAGCAGCTTTTTCCATACAAAAAATTACAATCATTAATTTCTAATATTCTTAAAATATTTATTGTCAAATTAAATTTGATATGATAAAAGTATTCAACTACAAAAGTAAATAATTTTACTTTGTAATTTATTCATTTTTAAACTCTATTTGTGTGTGCTACTACCAGTCTATAATATTCCAAATTTTTTTGTAATATGTTGCTATATAAATCATAAATTTAAATAAAAAATGATTTTTAGTTTCACCTGAATTTAACAATGGATTTTTACAATTATAATCAAATTTTATAAGCTCAATTGAGTAAATCTTTTTAACAACTTTTTTTAGATATATAATCATTAAAATTAATTAAATTCTGAATATTTCCATTGTAGAATCTTTTTAAACACCAAAAGTTAATTAGAAATGATTACTATGGTTTTTATTTAAGTGATCAATTACTATAAAAATGTAAAAAAAAAATAAAACTTTTCTGTTTAATTTACTGTAAATAGTAATTATAAAATTTCCTGATTGCATATTAATCTTAACAATATCATTTTTTTCTATTTAATAATGTCAATTTCAAACTTAAAAGTTATGGTAATAAATTCATTTTTTTTTATTGAAACTTTCACTTTAAAGGACAAAAAAAAGGAGGTTCAAAATGATTACTTTTAACATATTAAAAATCAAAATCAATAATAATTTGAAAACAATTAATTTTAAAAATTATATAATATATAATTAAAAGAATTACTAATCTGGGTATAATTAAGGAAATAGAAGTTGATGTTATTATTGTAATTATCCATCAATTTTTTAGAATTAAACACTATCTACAGATTTGCATCGAAGCGTTTCTTATGATAGTGATTTTAATCACTGTCAGATTAAATCTATACTGGACCCTACTATGCAGCGACCCCACTGAGTTATTTTTTTTTTTTTACTTAAAACTGCCATCATTTTTTCAAAAATTTTTTTAACAAATTAACATATATTTTTTTTTTTATAGATGTTTGATATCTTTACATGTCTTTATCATTTGGTATATTTTTTTTATAAATTTAACCCTTTACCAGCCCACAGGGGGTATTCAAAATGACAACTTTTTCACACAAACTTTTTCAACTTAACTTTTGAAAGTGTTCCGGAAATACTGACACTTTTATATATATATTAAATTAAAGCTAATGTAATATACTTTATTATGGAAAAAAAAAATTTCGGACTTTATTTTATTTTCATGGTGAAAATAATCATCAAAGTTAATAAAAAAATGCTTTTTTTATATTTTTAACTTTATAATGCTATAACTTTTTGATAAATGTATGGATCAATAAAATTTTTTTATAAGAAATAATACTTATATAACTCTTTCATTTGACATACTTTTTTTTAAAATCGGACCAATTCCCTTAATATAGGAGGGGTTCAAATCTTTAAAATGCATATAGAAAGTAGAACATTTTCAACTTAATTTTTGAAAGTATTCCGAAAATACTGACACTTTTAAATATAAAAGTGTCATTATTTAATCACAGTCAGATATCATCTTTATTGGACCCAACTATGCTACGACCCCACTCTGCTGGGTTTTTTAGATTTCAAGAGAAAATATTATCGGAATTATCTAATCGGGAAATGGTCTGATTTAAAAAACAAGTATTTCAAATTTAAGAAGTATATAAATATTATTTCTCATAAAAAAATTGTATTGATCCATACATTTTTCAAAAAGTTATAACATTTTAAAGATAAAAATGTAAAATATAAAATCGAAAATTTTTACACAAAAATAGCATTTGGTAGTCATTTTCACCGTGAAGACAAAACAAAGTCCGAAATTTTTTTTTTTTAATATTAAAGTATATTACATAAGCTTTAATTTAAGATATATATAAAAGTGTCAGTATTTCAAAAATTAAGTTGAAAAAGTTCTACTTTCTCTATGTTTTGAACCCCCCCCCTGTATTAAGGGAAATAGTCCGATTTAAAAAAAAAGTATGTCTAATGAAAGAAGTATATAAATTTTATTTCTTATGAAAAACCCAGCACAGTGAGGTCGCGGCACAGTGAGGACGTGACATAATTGGGTCCAGTATAGATGATATCTCACAGTGATTAAAATCACTATCATAAAAAACGCTTCGATGGCAAATCTGTAGATAGTATTTAATTAAAAAAAAAAATTTGTCAAAAAAGTAGGTCAAATGAGAGCTGAAAAAATAAATGATAGCTACAAAAAAAAAACCACATAGTAAAATAATATTAATATGAATTTCTTCTCACGAGAGGAGACTACAGTAATGGAATCCTTGATATTTATTGAAGTTATTGAGTAAAATATAAAATGAGATAAAAATCAAATGAGTTAAAAATTTTTTTTTAACTCAAAATGAATTAAAAAAAAATTCAGTGCCACAGTCGTGAAAGACCTAAGTGTTACCGTCTCAAAAACTGTACGTCACTTAATAAAAATGGAAATTTAGCTAATTTAAACTTAAAAGATATTTTTCTCGACTTCAAAGAAACAAAAAAATTTAAATAGTTTAATTTTTTATACTATGTCATTTAAATTAATATAATATTTATGAAAATCAGTGTAATCCCCTTATAATAAAATAAAATACAAAACCAAGAATTTTAACACAAAGACCGGAAGGTCTGACACTTTTATATATATCTTAAATTAAAGCTAATGTAATATACTTTATAATGGTAAAAAAAAATTTCGGACTTTATTTTATCTTCAAGGTGAAAACAGACATCAAAGTTAATTATAAAAATACGATTTTTGTAAAAAAATTCTTTTTTATATTTTTAACTTTATAATGCTATAACTTTTTGAAAGATGTATGAATCAATATAATTCTTTTTTTTTATAGATGCATGATGTC